ATAAGCGCCCCCCCCCCCATTGGCGAGGCGGGAGTCTATTTCTTCTTGGGGTACAACATCGCCGCAGTCACGGCTTGCTGCGGCAAAGAAGGGGGCAGACCTTACTTACTAAACTTATTTCTAACTTAACGCTATGGATGAGCCGGCACTTTGCCGGCAACCTAAGATTAGCAAAATAATTCTTTGTATGTACTACATGCTTATTTGTTTTAATTTTCTTGGATATTTTTTTTCCAATCTCACAGCGCACCATTGCACACGCTCATTCACCACTATGTTCTAATTTACAGCGTTGACACGCACGCACTTTCAACGACACTATATATACATCCTAGACACATATTACACTATGTGCGGCCACGCGCCGACTTTGCTCCAAGCGTCCGTGGCGGGCTAGGCCACAGAATGTGCCCTGGCAGTTTGTTACGGCGGAGCCTCACTCGTCCCGCTGGGAGCCTCACGCCAGCTGCATCGCAGAGCTCTGCGAGAAGCTGCGACAGGTAGCGCCGGAACGTGGAGGCCACTTGCTTGGGGCCCCTATGCCGGACGGCAAAATACGTCCGGGTGGACCTCGCAGTTCGCTGCCCGGCCGGTTTCGCGCAAGAGCCGCGGAGCATTTTGGCCCCAGCGCCCGCGTGCGCGCCATGTGTGCCCTCCGGCGGATCTCCTCCGGCAGCTGGACGACTCAAAGCCCAAGGCCCGGAGGTTACACTGTCTATGGGAGCGGTTAGGAGGAAGGAGGGAGATGTGGCCGCGTGGCGGTCCTCACCGCTCGGTTCTCTGCGCCCAAATCGGGCGTAGGGTCGAGACCGGCGCTGCCGCAGAAAAGTTTCGCCAAGCATAGGTCATAAAATTCGTATGCAGGCGGTAAAAGAGACGGCTTTGCGAGAAAGATAGGTCCGGGAGCCAAGAGGACGTAGAGGGAGGTCCTCGCAAGAATTTGGGGGCGAAGGGCCTTGGCGTGCTCGTCCATAGAGGCCACCGATCTAGAGTTCACGCGCCAGGTACCTACGCGCATGGGGACCAAGGAAGATGCGCGCCCGCAAGCCCAACACCGTTTCCTCGGGCGTCTGCCCTCTGGACGGCGTGAGATTAACCGGCCACGCATTATTTTCAGTTTAGTCAGGCGTTTCTGCCGTAAGCCAGGAGGAAAGGCGCGAGGCATTTCGTCACGGTCATCTCACTGCTTGCCTGCCTGTTCGCCGATTTTGCGAAGTACGCAAAGTCTGTCCGCGAACATCAGGAGGGCCCCGCAATCGCTGAATTTCCCGTTCGCCGTTCTGCTCAGCAGAGTGACGATCATGACCGTACGAAGCCGAAGAGTTGGGGGAGAGCACGCTCCCCTGTGGAACCCCGCTTCGGCGCGTCTTAGGGACGATTGTACCGCCGTTAACTCGCACTCTGAACGTTCTCTCTGTGCAGAAAACTACCATCAGCACTGGTGTAGCAGTCGCTTATCCCATGACTCAATGAGACATAAGAGTGCCCCCCGTCATGGCCACACCGTGTCGAAGGCCGACCGCATTCCAAGGAAGACGGTAGGCAGGATTCTGCCGCCTCTCGAGAGAGCCGATCTCGGAATGGCAGAGGCGCTCAAACTGCCTCGCGGAGCTAATGGCCCAGTTCTGAAACCGAAATTGTTCGTTATCGATGAGGAGACCTAGACGCCGTATTTCCTGCTGACAAGCGCACCAGTATGAGCGCGTTCTAGAGTCTTCCAGGAGCGAGAGATGACTGAATGGGTCTATCAAACTACTCGGCAGGAATCTCTCTGGGCCGGCCGCTTGCGCGTTCCGCGCTGGGCTGTCGGGAAATATGTGGGACGTTTCGGTGCGCATACACATGGTATCGCCTTGGTATCGAAGAACTGGATAAACCGTGTTGCTATGTTGCTAATCTATGTTTTGTGGGTCTATGATACCGAAAAATCGATTGGCGCAAAACGACTATCAATCCGACTGTGGTCAACGCTAGCGTCTAAACCTTTCTGCCGATTTTCTCCAAAATAGATATTCCCGATCGAACTGAACGAACTCAAGGCTTGGGAGATTCAAACGGATACCGTACCTACAGTACCTACAGATATTACTTTACATGAAGCCTCAAAAACATTTCAAAAAATTCTTAAAAATGGCACAAAATATTTTTATTAAACTTTGGCCTTGGATAGCATGAAAGACATTCAAGAGAATTGTGCATATCTCTTGTTCGTTAAATTCTCAGATTTTTGGAAAATTGCAAAAGTGCAATTTGTTGGGCATCTTCCTACAATTATAAAATTGAAATTACATTTTTTCCCTTAATGAAATCTGTTTCTTAATGAAGGATCTTTAAATAAGTTCACATTGAGTTATTCAAAAATATGAGCAGTTTTCGTGTAATTTTGCCCACAGTAAAGACAATCATTAAAAAATTAACATTTCTTTCTCAAAAATCGCCCAAATTTTTTTCTACTGATAGAAGGAATGCTTAAACGAATGGTGTGGGTCTCATTTTCATTGAACTACTCTGAATATTTGAAAATGACAAACTGAGAAATAATGCGAGAAAATTTGTGCTTGTGAAGTGCCACTAGTTGCAGATATTACTGCAACTCTACATACTGTTTGCTTCCTTCAAATGTCTAAAAGTTTAGGCTGCAGATTCTTTTCCCTGGTTGACTCGTTTTGGCCCTCTTCAGTCTTGATTCTCATAGGCAAACTAGAGTATTACATGAATCAGAACTTCATTCAAAAAATGTTTGCAAATCATTTCATGTTGTTGAGAATGTCCAAAAGGTGTCCATCATTAGACCTTTAATTTTAGATACACATTTCTTTTTTAATAAAGTGTATGAATTGGTAGTTTTTTGAAAAGTGCTCAAATAGAATTCGGTGAATATTTAAATACATACTGTTTGGTTGTTATCAATAAATGTTTGGTTGTAATTACTCACAGTTTTCTACTTGAGGATGTTTTCAGTGATTTACATATCTTGTATGATTTATTCAAGTAACAAATACACATCAGAAGTCAGCAGTGAGTCAGTTAAGTGAGTAATAATTTAATTGGTGACAACTGTTATGATCATTTTTGTAAGGATTCGAAAGAAAAGTTCCAATGATATCTAATTGTTGCGTTATTGAGTCCCATCAGTGAAAACCTTCATGTGGTGTATGACAGTGCTAGGACATAAATTTAGATAGTCTTTGCCATTTTAAAATTGTGATACTGAATTATTGATAAGCAATGATTAAGAATGATTTCTTTTGCATTTGACTGATTTTATATTTTCTGTTCTTTCAGAATTTCTTGAGGAAACGATAAAACGAGTTTTTGATCCATCATTAAATTTATTTCGAGTAACCAGTGAGGAAAGGCTTTATCCATCACCCACTTCCTACATGCAGGATAATCATTTACAACTGTTTGAATTTGTTGGAAGAATGTTGGGAAAAGCTGTTTATGAGGTATGGCTAAATAGGTTAAAATAAATCATGTTTAATATTTGTAAGATGTTACATATTCTGAAATAAGTACTCTTGTATTACTTTTAGGGAATTGTTGTTGATGTTCCTTTTGCATCATTTTTCTTGAGTCAATTGTTGGGCCAGCAACATCAAGCACTATATAGTTCTATGGATGAATTGCCTTCTCTAGATCGAGAGTTATATAGAAGTTTAACATTCATCAAGCACCATCAAGGAAATATATCCGAGTTAGATCTTACATTTACGGTAGATGAGGATTGTTTGGGGAAGCTGGTGACTCATGAACTTATTCCAGGTGGAAAAGCAGTTCCCGTTACAAATGAAAATAGGTTGGTATGGTCATTCATTATTTGTGTTTTGAAAAAATGTGTCATTTAAAGAAAAATAGTAATGAAAATTACATTTCATTACAAACATATTCAAATAAATATATATGTAAATCCTTTGTACACCTTCCTTTGGAGGGGAAGTAAAGCCAGCTGTCCCATGTTAGTAGATTTACTTGCATGTAAAAGATCCTCAAGCCTAAATGACATCTCTGAGCTAAATTCAAATCGCCTGTTTCTCACCCAAGAAATACCTCCTTTTTCTGCTAGTTGATGAAAGGAGCGTAGCAAAATTTGCGTGGTCAGACGGAAAAGCGGGCCTGATGGCCCAGTCTCACCATGTAAAAAAAGGCAAATTCAATTCAATTCAATTCAATAAAAGAATATTTCAACAGTGAGAGAAATAGGATGTAATATTCTATTTTGAAAAATATTTTATTTTGGAAACCAACGTAATAGTCAAGTGTGAAAATCAGTCATTCAGAAAGAGTGATTAAAATTCATATGTAATGTCAATATTTGAAGAACAATGGATTCCTTTTTCATGTACCAACTCTGAATGTCCTTTCTCATGTAGAGATTTGGAGCTTAAGGTTTCTCAATATAATGTTATTTTTATTTCTGTTTTGATATAATAGTTAAGAAATTTATCTTGGCATAATCATTTAAAAAAATGCAATTGCACCCTTAATATATTATTTACTAATATTTTGCATAATTTCAACTCTTTTTTTTTTGTGGAGGGATAGTAGTATGCTGCTTCTCACCTTCAAAATGTCTTGAACTTTTTTTCCCCCCGCTCCTTTCCTTCTTTCTAGTTAAAGAGATTACCTGTCTTGTGTTAATTCATAGAATGAATACAGTAAAACCTCGCTTTTATGTTCCCGTAATTTACATTTTCAGATATTCAAATACGTATCATTTTTCATGAAGAGTAACCCTATTGATGATGACAGTGAAAGTATAATAATTAAGATGTAATAAGTAAAATTATTAAGTTGTATAATAATAACGAAGAGAGCGTTATTGTGGTTGATTATACATTGCTTTCTCCAGCTGATATGTGCTTTGTAGAGTCTTTGGAAACTAATTAATAATTTTCAAATATTATATCACCCAACATGGGTTTTGTGACTGTTCCCCTCATGTGAGACTGCAGTGGGTTTTTTGCTCTCAATTGGAATGGAAATAATATTCTCTCTCTATTCAAAGGATAGGTGACAGTTTTTGACAACAAACTACAGATTATGACATACAAAACAAATTCTGCAGCAAACATAATCATGCATAACCCATTAACAATGTTTCCTAAGCCCTAAATAAAAACGAGGTATTTTTGTTCTTTGAAAAACATTAAATTTTGTGAGGACGGGTGGAACCCAAATTGTTTGTTGAGAAGTATTTTAAAAAATGAGATCATTTTGAACCTTTTGTTACATTTTTCAGAGATTTAATTCTGCGCAGTGTCCCCATTCTAAAACTTGAGTGGCAAACATTTGCAGAGACCCTGAATCTGTGTAAAATTAAATTAAAGAAAAAGAAAGAAAGAATCTTTCATGATAAAATTAAAGGGACTATTTGATTTTATGTGCAATTTAATATTAATGCTTAACAATATTAGAATGGTTATTCTCGCACAGTATTGGTCCTATCATGCTGTAATGCATACATTTCAAGGGCTAGTCATTCAAAGTTTGGTAGCACTGTACCTGTTTTTGCTTTTAAACAATAAATAACAAAGTGCAAAGTTTTTGCATGGGTTCAGCAAATGTTAATAAAAAATGTATAGAATCACATCTACAGATAATACTTGGGTTAGTGCAAATAATGTTTCAATTCGGTATCAAGTGGTTAGGGAGAACATTGTATTGTAAGGTGAAGCCTTTTTTTTATATGGGAAGAAGACACAAAGATTAGGTATTCATAATTATTTGGTAGTATTCTGAATTTAGATAGCCTGAAAATACTAATTTATACAAAATGTATTTCAATGGAAATGAAAAAGTTCAAGAAAATAATGATGTTAGAAACTTTATATTATCAGCCATCATTATACAAGTAAAGGACTGAACTATGAGTGTGAAGTATAGTTTCAGTATCAGTTCTTGAAGTGTTCATTTTCTCTTTAATAAATGATTAATATAGTTTGCCAAGATGGAGGTTGTAAATTAAACTTACAAATTTCAGTTTTTTAATACAATTATTATAATTTTTTATAAAAATGCCAGTAAATAACGGATTAATTGATTAATTTAAACAGTGTATCACTAAATTTGAAAAGTGTGTTGACTTAAAACCAAAAAAATTTGTTTGTTTTAGAATGTTGAGAGAATTAAAATATTTTTTTTTAATATTAAGGTAGTTCAATTAAGAAAGTATGAAATTAACAATTTTTAATTTTAAAATGTTATTTTCTAGGATTAATTACATACATCTGATGGCACACTTTCGAATGCATACCCAGATTAAAGATCAAACTGCTGCATTTATACGTGGTTTTCGTTCCATTATTAATCCTGACTGGCTGTCTCTCTTCTCCACTCCAGAGGTAAAAAATCATTACTGATATAAAAAAAAATTGTATTTCTGATGAATGGTAAACTTAACACTTCCAACTCTGTTTTCAGTTGCAAAGATTAATTTCTGGAGATAATGTTCCTCTAGACTTACGAGACCTTCGTAAACACACACAGTATTATGGAGGTTTTCATGACTCTCATCGTGTTGTGTGTTGGCTATGGGATATTCTTGATAAAGATTTTAATGATGAAGAAAGGAGACTTTTTTTGAAGGTAAAGGAAGGAAGATCTATAATTAATTATAAGTGATTTTGAGTTGATCAATTTGTTGTTGCTGTATTTGTATTGTAATGAATTTTTATTATATAGTTTGTTACTAGCTGTTCAAAACCACCTCTTTTGGGTTTTGCTCACTTGGAGCCACCATTTTCTATACGATGTGTGGAAGTGGGTGATGATGAGGACACTGGTGATACCATTGGTAAGAGATTTTGATTTGATGTTTTCTGTTTAATGAAAATAACTAAGGAAAGTAAGTATGTTTTAAAAATATAATTACCTAAATTACACATTCCAAGGACTAAGGGTACTCTTCTACCTCAAAATGTTTTGTTTGTTTTTTTCATATAAAAATTGAAATTTTGGTTTTTGATTGTATCTTGTGCATTAAGGTATTTACATTTCAATGCTTAAAACCTTCATTTGTTTTTAAGTTTGTTAGTTTTTGATTTAGTTGTACATTTTCCAAATGTGCATGCATATGCCATGTCCCATTGCTAATGAATCTCATTTGGCTTTTCCCTAAATTCACATTTTCTCTTGTTTCGCCCTACTTCAAAGATCGTAGATCTTCTAATTTTGAAGATATATTAAAGATCCATATTTTTTTAAATAGCAGAAAGTTAATTGTCAGGTCTAAACCTGAATATGTTATAGAAAATACATATTAACATTAACGTATTGCTTTGTTAATCGATAATGTTGCAGCTGATTTTTAAAGGTTCTAATTCGAATCCCTTACAGTACGTACAAGTACCTTATTAGTCTTCAAATTTAGGTTCATGTATAGATTATACTACAGTATAATACAAATAACAGTCTTAAGAAGGAATCCTCAAGAAAAATTTAATGGTTCACGAGTTATTATGTTACAAAGCATTCCATCTTTGGAAGGAAAAGGGGCATAGCAGATGAAATAATTAATTTTTTTTTGAAAATATTTTCTATTTTGTTAATACCTAATTCTAAAACTAAGCATATTTAAATTCAGCTGTGTGCCACAATTAAAAATGTTAAAACTCAGGTAGACGAGTTCCTTAATTATTAGTTAGGGGTAGTTATTGTGTCAAAAATTCTGTGTAATACAATCAGTGGTTCAATGGCTGATGCAAATGGTTCTCTATTTCACACAATTGAAAACTTGTACCTTGAAAATGTCCCCAACCGTGCTTGCTGTTGAATTGATAATTCAATTATGTGTCGTAAAAGAGAAGGATGGGGAATGTGGATCTCAAGGAAGCATGCAAAGTTTTTCCCCAAACATTACATCCAGTTTTTTGTTGATTAATAAATTAAATTAATATAATTAATTTATTCCTACTTGGTATAGAATTTATTTTTCATATTAAATTTTGTCTACTTAGACCAGAAATTATATTGTATATTTTATATTTATCATTGTTAAATACAAACTCTCATTGTAAACTCTTTAAACTCTTGAAAACTTGGTTGATTTTTTTTGTATTGTTTCCTGTAGAATGCAATTCATCTCATCATCTTTGTCTTTGTAAAGTTGTTGGAAAAATGTAAAAATACAAAAATTAACGATGTAATAGGCACATATGGTCATGTTTAGGAATAAATAACATAATATTCTCCTTTAGTTGCTTCAATGTAACCTATAACTCAAAACAATATTCTTAAAATGCAAAAAATGGGGGAGATTCGTCACCATGAATGTGGAAACATTTTTTTTCTTCCTATTCCTTAATTAGCATCTGCTAATAAGGAATTATTGTAAAAAACATTATGCTCTAGTTTGCAATTATTGTCTCTTTAGAAAGTGAGTTTTTGAAAAGTGGCCTTAAAACACTTTGACTTTTTGTAAAGAAAACCTTTTTTGTGGGTGCTCATAGACATTGATTGTCAATTAGTGTGCACCAAAGGAAAATGTTATCATTAACAAGCACTTTGTTGGGTTTTGTTTGTTGTTATATGTATGTCTGGAGCAAAGTAGTAATTTTGTATTATTCTGAAAATAAATTACAAATATGACATGTGATGTATTAACAACAAATTTTTGAAGAATAATTCTGGTTACATTGAAGATACTCAAGTAAATATTTTCAAAACTACTGCAGATGTCTTCTATTTGATACGTCATGCATGAAAGGAACTTTCATGACCCTTCTTCTGTATTTAGCAACCTTATTCATAATCTTCATTTGTAACAATAAAAGTAAAATTAAAAATACAAAGAAAAGTATCATTTCATGAAAAGTTGTTAAGTGATATCAAGGAACAAATACAATTTTTATTAACTATAGTCTTATTATTATTTTTAATCTTTCTTCTTTTTTTAGGAAGTGTGATCCGTGGGTTTTTTACAATAAGGAAAAAAGATCCGCAAAATAGATTGCCGACATCATCCACATGCTTCAATCTCTTGAAATTGCCCAACTATCAGAAGAAAAGTACTTTACGAGAAAAATTAAAGTATGCTGTATCCAGCAACACAGGATTTGAACTCTCTTAATGGCTGTTATTTTCACAGAAGAAATGAAGAAAGGCTGATTATTCTAAATGGTTTATCCTGCAGGCTTGGACAATCTCAGAATTATTTATTCTATTGCTCTGGTATTAGTATTTGGTGTTTGTTTTGCATTGTATGCAAATTTTTGTCTTATGACAACTTTAAGTGCCTCAATATTAGTCATGACACACTGTGAGGGATGAAATGCTTTATTATAATCTTACAGACCCTTATATCATTTATTTCATTGTAGAAAATATGTAAATTAGGGCTCCTCAGGACAAACTTCACTATTTGACATTGAGCTTTAACTTTTTTTGTTTAATTACCTTATATTCTTCTGATCAAATCTTCTGATCAAAATATCATTGTCTGCGTGAAAATATTTTTCTGGTTGTCTTTAAAATAAGGATATAATAATGTTTCCATTGTGATTTGATTACTATTTATCTCTTATCAATGTGTAATTGTTAGTTTTTATTAATGTGTTTTCAGATCATGCAGGATATTCTCATTCCTGATTTTTGTTTTTTACTCTTGCTCCTAGATTCAGTGAAATGATCAAGTTATGAATCTGAATATTGATATCATTTTGCATACAAGTCTATGCATGCAGTAGTGAGAGGCATTATCAGCTTAGAATTATTTGTACTATTCATGTATAACAAGATATCTCATGTGATAAATTTGCAAACAAAATTTTGAAGAAACATATATGTACATAGGTTTTTAACACTTTTGCAGCTTAACAAAATGAATTATTAGTTAAATTATTATGATTGGGGACTTGCTGTATGTCAGGCAGTTTTTAAAATTTGAATTAACTAATTTAAGAAATAATAATATAGAATTTTTTGTTTGCATCATTGTGACGTATTTGAGTCTCCTATGAGAATGAAAAAATCACCATACATTATATTTAATTGATAAACCCCATTTTTTAGTGAAGAAACAAAATATTTATAAGTTCATGATGCAAGTGTTAAAGTGAAAATTTCCTTGTGCAGAAGGCAAGAAATATAATCTGATGTCAAAAATGTATAGAAATGTATTATTTTCATTGTCATTAATTATGTGAATTGCCATGTAGAAAGTTTCAAAATATTTTTGTTGAGTTGATCTATATGATTGTACATTCTATCAAACTGTTGTACTATATTAATTAGGTGTGTAAATTAAGTAGTTGTATGTGTATTTAAAGTAAGCAATTAAATTACCTTTATATTGTTTTGTGCAAACTGTTAGTTTGTGGTACAAATTTTTGTTAGAGGTGTGTTATTTTGCACTCATATTGATCAATGGAAAATTCAAATCTTTGATGCTAGTTCAAGTACGAACAATTATTTTCTTGTTGGTTTTTCTGTCTTCCAATGGAAATTGTAAGAAAACCATGCCCCAGGGTGTACTCTCTATTTAAATTATTTGTATAAACTGTATTGTTATTAGTTTTTACACACTGACATGAAGGTATAAATTTCATAACATCAGGAAACAAAGTAAAATATTTTCATAAAGGAGTGTGGGTGTGTGTGTGATACAAAACACTTCTTTGTCTCATAAATTCAATGAATTTCATACGCAATATTTTTAGTCACTCATACTTGTGAGAAGTATTCAGTTGATGTAGGTCTCAATACAGATATTTCAATATATTTTAAACAATTATGGGTGCATATTATTGTTTTAGTGTGTGGTCAGAAGTTTTTGTAATTATAGATAATATCTATGGTCAGCCTGTGAAGTGTTACCACTTTGAGGAGAAATAGCTGTGATAAAATTTTTCAAATAGATTCTAAACAGATTTTAAATATATTATGTATAGTTATCTACAAAGAACGATCTGTATATGTTCATTGTCTGGTGTGGCAGGAAGACTGGGAGAATGTATCATAAGATAAGTAGCCTAAAATAATGAAATATCACAGATTACTTCCCCTATATTGTTTTGTATATTCATATGCTGCTGATGTGGTTTTGAAGCTTGGTGAATGAGGGAATTGTCTGCAATATGTAATTAAATAAATACATAAGTGTTATAGTTGCCATTATTGTGGAAACAAACATCATTTAATAGTTTTTACAAATAGTAAAACAAGTTTCCATTATGTTAGTAATAATATGTTTCAAACAGAATTTATGAAAAGCAAAATATTGGTTAAATGCACAAATGTTTTCATTAAGGATTGGAATGAATGATAAGCATTTGGATTGTGGATCATTCTGCTGATGTTAGTTGAGAAAAAACTCAATTGAACTGACTTTGTACTCCCTTTGTGAAATGCCTTGCAAATCAAGGACTGAAACCATTTTAATATTATTGTAGTGTTAAGTATCCAAACAACTGGTTTAAAAATTTGTTTGATCCTCGTCACCAAAGAACTGCCACTGGTTACCAATATTGTAGGTCTTCAGAATCAGGAAACCATACCAAATTTTCACAAATGCAGTGTAATGCAGATTTCTTTTGAATGTTACATTCTCTTGTAAAGTGTTTATTTATACTTAATGAATGTGCAAGTGACTGACTTGGTATATTTTTATTGCATTGTATTTTCTGTGGATGTAAATGTGATCCCTTAAAACAACATTTTAATAAAGATGAAAATATATGTCATTACTTTGTATTGTGATTTTTGTCAATAATTTTAATGAGAAATTAATTTCTTTTTTTTTAATGAAATGAAATCGCTCAGTTTTTTAAAGTTAAGGAATGGACTCATGGCTCAAATATTGTTAAAAGTAATTGTGATTCCTTGTTTGATAAATAGCAACTTTTAAAATTGAACTAAAACAAGTACTTAAGACTATATTCCATTCCAGTTCTAAGGAAGAGCTGTTTCTAAGACATTTTCAATATACAATGCATGAAGTCCTGCATGAACTAATTCTATAAAATTTAGAAAACCTTTTTTTTTTAATGGTTGTAATTTGTGTTATCTCTATTTTATTTTTGAAACTTCTCAGTTACAGTTTTGAGACCTCTAGGATTAGGCCAAGCTGCTAACACACACACAGCATCAGAGGTGTCATGAGTAAACAATTGAAAACATTCTATGTACCTGTAGTGGGATGAGATATCACAGAAAATGTATCTGTCATTTACTTTAATGCATAACTTTATTTTTGTATGTAATTTATTTAAATACTTTTTATTTTGTTGTGAAGGCATTTTTGAATCTTTTGATGAAAATTTGTGACTGCAATAATTGGGTTATTTGATGTAGCTTCCTTTTTCATTTGATAATATTCAAGTAGAATTTTTCGTAAATTCATTGATACGTTGAATTCATTGATATTGTTACACACACTGCAGCCTAGTCATCCTAATGAATGGTATGTACTCGTATTTACAAGCAAAATACTAATAAATTCTATATACCAAAATACTATCACATACTTTTAATTAATATTTTTATAAAAATCTGTATTAAGTTTAAAAGTAATGTGTAAATTATGTATTAAGAATAATTAATTGAGCCTGGAAGCTTTTCAGTATTTCTGTATCACTTTTGAGGAAGCAAAGAGCATTAAACTCTTTTTTCCTTCAGAATTCAAAATCATTGAGTTATGGGTTTTGATCTGCAAAATTTTCATCACTTATTTCCTTTCTTGCCTTGCTAACTATGTATATTTCTTTTAACAATGGTTACTCAGAAAATAATATTGTTTTGTGGATTACAAAGTAACAGAAACTTTGTTTATATGACAAGAAACTTGATGTTCAAAAGAAAGTAATGTTCTGTAATGTAATGTAATAATTAAATTCTAAAGGGCGATGTAATATGATAATTTTTTTTATGGGTGGCCAATAATAAGTTATTAATCCCATGAGCATCACCACTTGCAAATGATTACAATAGATATGGATAGACTACTAGACTTCCGTCCAAAATCCTCAAATATTTCAAAACATAATGGGAGGGGCGCTTGCCTCCCCGTGCACCCGGTGGTGAGACTCATGATTTATCCCGGTTGTTGAGTTTTAAATTATGAGTCACTCGCCGCCACGAAGGTGATGCACTGGGAGCCTTCGAAATGGCGCCTCGACACATGACGTAGTTCAATGTGGCCTGCTGGGAAGTCACGTGATACCTTTGTGCAGCTGTTCGCGAGCCTTGGCTTCGCTGCAGTCGTCGGTTTCTCTTTGTGTGGAGGGACATCGTACCAGGGGAGGGTTGTGTTTCTGATTTGTGTTTGTTGGTTGTGAATTGCTGATAAGTGTGTAATGGATATATTTCTTCCTGGACTGTCTAAAACTAGTTCACCACTTCAGACGCCTCTTATCCATTCAATGAAGCCCGAGCTTCTACATTCTCAGGATATTCGCCTTGAGTGAAGGTAGTGTAGTCATGAAAGGAAGAAGGAAGACGGCGAAAGTATTGTTACCATTTTTTGTTTATTAAAAAGCAAACAATTCGCACCCCTGTGAAGATCCAAGAGCTGTGGTATGGTGCATGTTCGAAAACGCCTTTCGTAAAATTTTATAGCAATCATCGACGTAGTGATTACATCTAGTCAAAGAAGTGATACGATATGAATCTTGTCAGCTACGTGTGTTTTATGACTTGTAAGTGAATATAAATTGTGATACATACTCCAGAAACCTGGGAAATTTCTTGACATTGGATCTAATGTTGTGATCATTTCGCCCCTTCTCTCTCTCCGCCGCCCCTACGTAACCACCAGGAACTGCATCATTCACATTGTAATTTTCGAGCGACTGGGACTGATAAGTGCTACAAGTGCCGCTGCAGTCGTGCAACCCGTATTTATACAGGAGGATTTTACCGCAACTTCATGGCTGTAGTTGGTCCTAGCAGACACTCACGAGTGTCCATGTCAATGTCGATGTCGCTCATGCAGGGCGGGGGAGGAAGGGGAGGACACCAACAATCCATTCTCGCGGCAGCGCAACCGTACTATCATCCACAGCATCCGCATCAAACTCCTGCGACAACTCCTCATTCTCATAGTCAAGATGTGCAACCCGATAGACCCATCGGATACGGAGCCTTCGGCGTTGTATGGTAAGCTGCTTTTCATCTCTGAATAGCGCGCGCTGTCAAATCGCGTCCAAGACGCTTGCATGCTTCGTTACCCACGACTGATTACTTCAAATTCGGATTCGAAGGGTTTTCGAATAGTTATATTTCTTTTCTTTACATACGATACTTATTTTACATTGTATGTGCTGTAGAGATTCGGTGTTTGAAGCATGTATTTTTGTGTAATGTGTTGTGTTACGACCTTTTGTTTGTTGAGATGTTTTTGAATGTGTGAAACAAATATATATAAATTATTGGTGTACATGTTTTTGATGTTTTGTTTGACGAAACGAGACTTGAGAGTACCGATTCGTTGAGCGTGGTGTATTACGATTCCGAACAATTACTAGTTCTCTTTTGCTAGAGTTTCGCAATACAAATCAGAACAATTATTTCACTTTATTCTAAATCACCAAATGATCTTGATAGTTGTATGTGTTAGTGTATTCATTTACGTCAGCGAGTTGACTCGGTGAATTTCTTATGCGAATAATATTTTTTGTAAAATAATACATTGTATCGAACATACTATGTTTCACAATGATCCAGTTGACGAGTGGGTAACAATGGCATTTTGTTGATTCGCCGTTTGCGGCAGCGTTGTTGCGCGTTTCGGTCTTTGTTTCGCCCAAGAGTTCATTTCCTATCAGCGACGAATATTGGCACGATGCCTCTCGGTACGTCAAACAAGATAGTTCTGTTAGGACTGCGATAAGTTGAGCACGACAGTTCCAGCTATCACTTCAATGGGTGTTGGAAAAGTTCTTTTTTGTCTTTGAAGGCAAACTTTAAAAGCGAATGCAAAATTAGAGCGTTAGTTGTACTTTTCATGATATAGGAGATGTTGATTTTCATTGGCATTTTCAGTATTTTGTAAAATATGAATATAATATAATGTAATGTAATTTAGAAGGAATTTGTATCTAAGGTACAAGAAGTTAATTTAGGAATGGATTTTAGTGGAAGTCCCATTTTCGACTTGTGTGTATATTTTTCACGTAGGAAAACCATAAGTTGCTGTTGCCGCAAACACATCTGAGTTAATTTTTTGTATAGAGGTCTTTTGCCGGAACAGTTTGTTTCAAATCTCGCCATATCAACCTTTTCCATTGTTCTTCCGCGAAGGCAAACTCAGAATTTCCCGCGCCGCTCAGCGTAAATGGCGCTCCAGGCTCGCGTGGTCCGTCGCGTCTGCACTCGGTGGTTTAAATTGCGCGTGGATGCGGGGGCCGCGTTAAAAGGAGGCTTCGCGTTGACAAACGCTCGCGGTGCAGCCGCGGTTGTAGCTGGCCTTGCACGGCCTGCACGCACGCCGCCGCCTATCACAGAGCGCGGAACCGCCCCACGCCAGCGGGGCCTCGATAAGCCCCCGCGTCCCTGGGTGCCAGGCGCCGCACTGAAAACGAGCATTTTTTTTTTTATTTTTTTTTTACAAACTGCTAAACCGTTAATTGGATAAATGCAACGAGTGTAGAATGCAGAGATTTAATTATTTTTTAAGAAACTTTAGTAATAGTCTCATCTGGGAAGAGACTACACACAATTATGGCAAATATGTAGTTAGATGTGCAACTTGGGCCTAGGGATGTTTTAAATTAGTGTCACTGTTGTCTTGGCAATGCTAGTCAAATTAAACGTACAACAACATCTGAAGGCGTACAACTTTTTTTACCATCCATCGCGCATTCCACTCGCATACCCATTTATCAGTTTGCTGTAGCTGTTTGCCAAAAGGATATGGGAGTACGGATGCGACGCATGTCGATGTTTTAATAAAATAATATTTGTATTTCATATCGATGTTGTGGAGCCAATGTATTTTTACCATCCATGCTTTGTGTTAGATGTTTTTACGTGGTGGACATTTTATTTTTGGATGAAAAAAGCACAATCGTAATAAAAACTTGAAATAATTTTGAGGTATCCTAAATTTGGACATTTTTCAGATCAAAGTAAGCGAGGGTGGAAAATAATTAAAATAGGTTTCTTTGATGGGTTTATTTTATTTTTTAATAAAATTATGTGATAATATTTGTTTGTTAATTGTCCTGATCATATTGACGTTATTTTGTCTATTAAAACTATTGATAATTAATAAACGCGACCGATGTCAAATTACTTCCCGTGTTTTGCCTGGAGACGCTACTTGTTGGAACCGTTACCAGGGTATAAAGCCTGCCGTTTTGAAAAATATTTAAATTAAATACAACTGTGGTATAATATTTTTTTTTTACCTAGCAAAGTCCTGGAGAGTTTAAAAGCATTGAAGTAAAAATGATCTGTGAATTCATGCCAAGTTTACTTCGTTCGGTCCTCTTTGTCAATAGGGAGCTCGCCGAACAAAGGCGTTGTCTGGACGATCAGGACGCAGCTCATGTTCAGCAAGTTTTGTATTGCATAAGATATACTAGCTACTTCGATAATTAGGTACATAAATTGTGGACATCGTTGTCACTTCCCGCGAAATGCAAACTAGTACTAAATAATTAATATGACGTTAGAGCGGTGTTTAGCCAAAAGGTTGACCACGTGGACTATTCCATAAAAAATATTTGGTTGTAAAACAGTTTATTATTGTTTATTATGTCTTGAAATTCAGTTTTTATTTTGTGAAGAAAATGGCATTTTGTAGTTTATGAAAGTGTATAAATGTAGGTATGTAATATGTGAATTGTTGATTACCTTTTATCCGTTTTCAAAATGATTTGTGTTTGCGAAAATTAATTATGTTCTTTTGAAATTGATATTTCCGGACAAATAGAGTTGAATCCCAGCGCAAACAAGGATGTTTCAAAAATGAAATCAAAAATGCTTCTATTCCTTTTCGGAAAAGAATCTTCTTCGGCTTTATTGTAGAATCGAAGTGTTAAAATGAGTTTGTTGTAATGCATCGTGTTCTTTCAAATTAAAAAAGTTGTTAGAAATAACAAGAAAAATAATGAAGTAAAACTGTATTTTGGTATTCGATGAACTTACACGGGCAAAAGTTGATTACATCAGAACATTTGATTATTTTTAACACAACTTCCATGGCATATGCACTACTACTATTCACTACTACTTGGTAAAAAGCAGCACGTGAGAGGATATACATTTTAAATAGCATTTTTATGTTATATCATTTGCTTCTGATAATCTAAAATAATATTCGAAATGCATTCGTATAAAATTGTCTACTTTTAAAACATTTTCAAATTTTGTGAAGATACTCGAAGGAAACTTCGAAGAGAATGCTGTGAAAATTGAATTCCCATGATTCACAATCCCCTCTAATCGTTTAAGAATTGCAAGAGATCGTGAATCATCGTAAAATGCCAAAGTTTGCAACATTTAGTTCACAACTATTCGTAGAATCAGACTAATTTCAAAATATAGTTAAGTAACCTACGGTTGCTTAATACCGTAAGTCTATAATCCAAAATCAAGTAGTACCGAACCTCTTGTGGATTATCAAATAGTTCAGAGAAAAACACAATAAAAAGGATCGGCAGACGTGAACGACGACAAAGCAAAAATCATCCATAATTCTCCAAGGATTACAGAAGCGGATTTATGAATAAATGCATTAACATATTAAAAGTTATCCGTTTTTAATTACAGGAAAAATACTGAACTGAATATACATGCATTTACAGGATGTCTTTTATGTTATGTGTAGTGAATCAAGGCATGCAACAAAATACTCGTTCAGTAAAGTGCGATAATGAAAATTCTGCACCTAACATTTGCATGTTCAGTATTTGAGCGTATGTACAATATATTCCCGTCTGCTTTCCCCAGCCCCGCCAGAATCGAATCAAATTTATCGATAGCCGTGATTTTTTGCGTCGGAATTACTGCATGGCTTTGTTTCCACCACGCGAGGACCATCTTTTGCGTAGCGAGGCATCTCAGCCGAAGTAAACGCGCTCCGTATGGTTGCACTATTACGAGCGGACAGTCCGCTTTTTTTCACCTTAAGTTCACTATTTTTTAAGAGTAGTGGACATTTTTTTATATTAGAAAGCTTCAGCATGTAAAGCTGAACAGTCTAAGATAATAAAGATAGGATAATCAATTTTGTCATTGTTTTCTTCGTAAGTTATGAGAAAGATCGAACTCGATTCTGTGAAGAAAATATTAATAATACTCATTTGTTTCACAAGACATTTAATAAAAGTATATAAAATTATTTTCATACTGTTTTTCTTAACTCTCATTTACCTATAATTTTATATTATACTTTTTTTTAGTTGGGTAGATATGATTTGGAACACCCAACACCTGACTGCTTGTACTATCAGTTGGAAGTGAACTTTGTATATTTTTTAATATCCCTCAACGTTGTACGGAAATTAAAGAATTATACTGTAAACACAAAGAATGGATCAAAGCTGCGCAGTCAAATAAAAAATACGACAGTAAAGTAAAATGTAATTTAATATTTTTCATATTATTACAATATAATGTTTTGAATTTTAAGTAAAATTTTGAAGTTTTTATTTTAACGCGTGTTAAAACGTTTGTAAGAAAAAAGTAAAATATATGATTTAATTGTAATTTTAACTACTTACCACGCGCGCACGCTCGGGCCAGTGGCGGCGTGCGAGGGCTGCGGCTGAAGTAGCGCGCCCAGAGCCTGGCGCCTCCCGCTTCATTTGGTTCTTTCCCAGTGGAAATAAATAGACCGCGATTTGCCGGACAGGGCTTACCAGGGCGTAGCGTGACGTGTTCAACACATCTAGTGCCTAAGAGGGGTTTATGGCCCGGAAGGCAGAACGGAGAGATGACACGAATTCACCACAAAAGTAGAAGGTAGGGGAGGTTGAAAGGGAGAACGGCTCGCGAAATTTAAATTGCTTGTGGGGCTTGTATTTCGTATTATTGTTGTTTTTATGTATTTGGGAAATGATGTTCGCTTCTAGAGGAGATAGATAAAAGTTCTTGGAGTCGTGATTGTACTGGCGTCTCTAAAAAATAGTTGGCGTTTTGGAATAT